AGCTACTTGGGAGGCGGAGGCAGGAGACTCGCTTGAGCCCAGGAGTTGGAGGTTGCTGTGAGCAGTGAAGCCACAGCACTCTACCCAGGGGGACAGCTCGAGGCTCTGTCTCAAAATAAATAAATAAATAAATAAATAATATTGCATGAAAAATAAGCCTCCTATTTTACACAGAATGACTGAATTGTGGTAAATAAGATGTGTAGGGTGCGCCTGTGGCTCAAGAGGGTAGGGTACTGGCCCCATATGCCGGAGGTAGTAGGTTCAAACCCAGCCCCGGCCAAAAAAAAAAAAAAAATAAATAAAATGTGTAAAAACAGATGAAGTCATACGTGACCACATCTCCGTAATTACACTGCTGAATTTAGGGTACAAGTGATTTTTATAGAGTGGTGATAGCTGGGCCTTTAGTGTACCTGTCACCTGAATGGTGTATATTATACCCATTAGGTAGTTTTTCTTCCCTCATTTCCCTCCCACCCCTACTCCTTTGAATGTAAATGTTTGGGCAGATTTACCAGCTCTGCAGCCAGACAGCTGTGGGTCAATCTATCCAAATTTACTTTATTCTGGAAGGAGGAGGAAAGGGTGCAGAGGACATGCAGTGGAGACTTGTGCACAGGAGCTGCTTTCTGGCTCTTCTGCTCTGCCCATTAGCCACTAGAGGGCAGTGCTGCCTGGCCCAAACAGCCGCCTGATCTTGTTCACCCAGACCAAAGCTCTCCTAACAGGTGAAATTGAGACTATGCTTATTCCGAAATTATATTGTGTTTATAAAACTCATTTTTGCTTCATTTGACTCAGTGTATTGCAATCACCCTTACTGTTATGACTGAGTGTTAACTCTCTTACTCCCAACCTAGCCTGGCAGATGTGAACTACCATTTACTGCAGGCATATTACATACTGGGCTCTATGCTGAGGGATTTACATAAATCATCTCATTTCTTTACTACTACCTGTAAGGAAGGTACTGTTATTATTCCCATTTTACAGATGATAAAATGAAGGCTCAAGGAGGAAAAAAGTTGGGGAACGCACTCAGATTCACACATACAGTAAGTGACAGGCAGGGATTAAATCTAGGACGAATTCCATAAATCTAGGCTTTTGGTAATTTTTTTTTTCTTAGCTAGGGCTGAGTTTGAACCCGCCACCTCCAGCACATGGGGTCGGTGCCCTACTCTTTTGAGCCACAGGCGCTGCCCCTAGGCTTTTAACAGTAACACTATAGCACCACCACCATGTCAAATTAGACTCCTCCTCTCCATGCACATGTCCTACTACCTCTGGCTCTTCTGGAAGACTTCCAACAGGACTTTCTGCCTCCCATCTCACCCTGCTTTTGCCCTGCAAACTCACACACAGCCCTGCCCCACCCTACCCTTCCTAATAGGAGACTGGTAAAGAGATGAATTCATCATCTTCCACAACACTGCCAGAATTCCTTCCAAAGGAAAAACATGCACATTCATTTTCCTACATGAAAACTTGTAATAGATAGATGCTGCTTACTTACAAGATAAAGTATGGCCCCAGAGGTCCTTTACACCTGGGCCAGCCTGTCTTTCCCTACCCTCCGGCATGAACACATCATGCTGATATCCTTATCATAAGTTCCTTAAATACACAGTGGGTCTTCATGCCTTTTTGCTCAAGGTATTTTCACTAGCCTGGAATGTTCTCTGCCCTCTTATCTCTCTTAAAAATATCAACTCACTAGTGCCATGCCTGTGGCTCAGTGAGTAGGGTGCCGGCCCCATATACCAAGGGTGGTGGGTTTGAACCTGGCCCCAGCCAAACTGCAACAAAAAAACAGCCGGGCATTGTGGCTGGCACCTATAGTCCCAGCTACTCAGGAGACTGAGGCAAGAGAATCGCTTAAGCCCAAGAGCTGGAAGTTGCTATGAGCTGTGACACCACGGCACTCC